AAAAAAATTTTAAAAAAATCTACTCTTCAAAATAACAGTTATTACCATTGGATGAGCAGAATTAGTAAGTATGTCTGGATATCGAGGATGATATGGGCTTAAAAATCCCTCATTTCTCAGCTTCCTTGTGTCTGTTGATAAAAAAATAATAGGACCAACAGCCTCTAAAACCTGTAATTAAAAATTGAATACTCAATGCCTCTATATCATTTAGACACAAGTAAAAATTAAATCTCAAAAAATCTAGAAAGATAAATTTCTATAACAATGTTTTAGCATTCAATTAATGGGAACAACCGCAGCATGTAAAATTTGGCAAAAGCTTTCAATTAATCAGCATTCTTTCTTTGCCCAGATCAGCTATATGAAAGGGTCTGATTGACATTAGCAATTGGTTTTATAATTTCAGCAAATATGTCTAAAAGCTCATGGAGAAGTCTCAAACAAAGGTTATTCTTATTATACATCAAAAACATATTTACAGAAAAAGTAGACAACTTTAATATTTGAATCAACAAGATAAAGCATTAAAATAACCTCTCCAATACGAGGACTGACAAAATTTAGGTCTTCCTGTAATCCTTTCAATGGTGGATCATAGGAGTCGATGAATTGAACCAACCTGAAATGCACAGAGAGAGATGCAAACATGTGACAAAGTAGAGGAACTAGATGATGACTCCCAAATAAAAAGTATTTCTTACCTATGGTAAAAATCACAGTCTCGTTCGTTTCTTGACACAGCATGCAAAAGGTTATATACTTGCAGCATCATCTTCCTTGGCAGCTGTTAGGATACATTAAGCACAGAAATACCCACTCTAATTAATAACAAAATAGACAATGAACATCGAGCAACTGACATTGATTGATTGATAATGTCAACTTGCCTTCTCAGAAAAGAGGCTGACACGGACAAATGAACAGAAGAGATCCATAAATGCATGTAGTATAAGTGAATTCTGATGAGGCTGCAAAAAACTGTGCCAAGTTATTAGAGATACAAAAAGGAAACAAAGTTTAAACTTCCTCCTCCATCTAGATGTAAAAAATTTTCTGAATGCAGACACATATCAAGAAGTCTGCAATGGAAGGAGTTTCACTAGTTCTCGTGACCTCGATATATATTATATTTTAGGCATCTCGCATCAACCAATACATCAGTTTCCAAGTCAATATTGTTATGGCAAAAAAAGCATCATTAACTTACCAACAAGGTAATAACTGTACTACTTAAGTCCAATATAAGGCGTAAGGCTTGTTCACGAAATGCCATCAAGTCAAGAAGTAGCTGATTCACACAAAAGAAGACAGTCGATGTTACTACTTGGATGCAGCAAATGATTTTATTCATGATCTACATGTTTGAAGATGAAAAATGTTTATACAGGTTATGCTACTGGTTCAATATAATTTATAAGGTAATAGAAGAAATAGAGTGATGGAAATGGAATATTGTGATAATACTAAACTGAAAAAAGGATGTTTCACTTAGGCCTTCATGTATTTCTGATGAGAGCAGTTTTTAAACTTCAGCAAAAACAAACTCTGTACCTGAATCCATGGTTCCAAACTCTGCAAATGAATTTCTGCACTGTCATGTAAGGCATCTAAAGCAGCCTTATCAACCTGCATCAATATGCATCCAAACAATAAAATAAGCTACTGCTCATGAACAGAAAATGGTCCAACATCTGAAGACCAAGCATAGAAAATTAAATTCTTACACGCTCAAGTTGCAATTTACTGAAGTGGTCTGGGAACTTTTTGGAGAGAAATATACAAATTCTTGGATGGTTGGGGAATATGCCTGCTTTCCAAAAGGCTTCTGAAAAATTGTGACCAACAGGATCTGGGTAGTCCAAGATTTGATTTAATCTATACATCTTAGCCATAAGCCCTTCTGCAACCTCAATAAGTTGCACGACCCACTGCAATTGCAAACCCTTGTGGGACCCACCACCATCTGAACCGACGTTTTTAGAGCTCCTAGTTGCCATTGGAGAACTAACATCAGGGCCTAAGTACTCTGTCCATCTAGATGGACCCTCCCATTCTCTTGATCTTACCGAAGTGGGTGATAATGATGAATCGTGGGAAGAAAAATAGTGCCTTGATTTTGCCATGCTCTCAAAATTTCTGCAAATTGAAGCTTGAGTTAAGACCAATAACCCGATAGATTCTGAAACTTCACTTTTCAGGAACCAAAGCCTTTAGCCTAAGGGTTCCCAAACGTCCCTGGGTTGGGAGTTAGCAAGTCCTTGGTTCAAACATCCACTAAATCTACCTCTGGAACCAGCCATTAAACAAATTTCCCTTTATATGAGTTTCCCTTACAATTTATACTTCGGTTGATTCAATTCTAAAAGTGAAAAAAACAATTGCTCAATTATGTCACCATCAACACAGAAGATACCTTGCCTTCCTCCCCCAAATTTCACAATCAAACCGTTCTGATTTCCTACTTTGGTTCATAAAGCTTTGTTTTCAAAGCAATAACAGTACAATTTCGAATCTTCAAGCTTTACATTTTCAAAAAAGCCAGAAGAACTAGAACCGCCATAGCTCCACAGAAAACGAAATAAAAGCTAAAAACAAATCAACAAATCCATTTAAATTTAGAAACATCAAAAGATAAGCAGAACTATAACGGAGGTAAGCTCTCACCGCAGCACTTGATTCGAGCTGAACTGTTTCCTCTTTACCACATTTACTCAGGCACCAACAGTCGTCGTCGGGAACCCAATAGCCGGCAGCTGGAGCTCGAAAGAAGAGAGAAGGTGCAGCTTTCGTTGGAGCGGATCTGGAAGAAAGACTTTGTTGGTTTTCAGTTGCACGGCCAGAGACAGGCTTTCGAGCGCTTCGCAATTTCTAACAAAGATAGAGATTTCCTCCGTTATTTAGGACAAGATCGCCATTTTCTCACTGTTTTCTTCTCCTTTCCTTTCTTTTCTTTCAGTTAAAAATATAGATATATATTTAATAATACTATAATTCAAAAATTGTTACTTCATCCGTCTTTTTCTTATTTTTTAAAATTAAAATTTTAAAGATAACCTATTTATAAAA